AAATCCAACGTGCCAAAGAGATCGCACAAGGTGGAACGTGCCCCTTTTGGGCGGTGTGATTTGAGGTGATCGAATGAGGTGTCCAGTAAGTCGGACTTGGCTTGACCTCATAGTGCCAGAGATTCTCCAGACCTTCTCACTCTCGAGCTGGTATGATCTGGAAAGTACAAGTATACTAAATATAATTGCCAGGACCTTCAGTACGTGACCTCTTTGGAGTCTCTGTCTGTGACCTTGTACAGACCTATATAAGTGACCTCATTCTGGGATGTCAAGGACGGTCACGAACTGAAGGTCCTGGTATATATAAAATCTAAGCTTCCACTTGTTCGATCGATCCAGCAAGTCTGAGAGCTTGCTGTCCAAACACACGAAGCTCGTGTCAGCACCGTCCCTAAACACAAACCAATTCATGTTTAGCGCCCAGAAACTCCACTGATTATGCCAGATTCACCCCTCTGGCGCCACTCCGGTACATGCCAGTCCCATCGGTCGTGTCAGGGATGGGGTTCACCCACTTTTCACTCCCAAACATTTGGTGACCGAACGTGGGTGAGAACAGGGGCGGCCGGACTGTGCCGAGTCCCACGAAACACGGTGACAGTGGCGTGTGCTGTTTTCTGGCGTTTTCCTGGACCCGACTTCACGTACCTTGGAAAATGGGACATGACTCAGACCCTGTCGAAACAGTGCCCATTTTCCGAGGTACGAACTGAGACTCCACGTTCATCGCTATAAACTCAATGAACAACATGGTGGCTGCGTGTCTCCTGCATAGTAGGTTGGATGTCCTGGAAAAAAACCAACAACTGACCAACCTCAACCCACCAACCAAGCAGCTCCATGTACTACGACGCCCCTTGACCTACGATGCGGGTGGTGTAGGTGACCTACGCCCCCCCCATCCATCTCCCTAGGCTTCCAACCACCATTAATTTAACCCAATCAACTAAGGATTTTACAATACAAAAACCAGGTCAACCATTGTTTTAATGGTCTTTGACTCCCATCCATCTACTTCGCCCGAAAACACCGGGAAAACACCGCGCGCGAGGAGCCGATGGCGCCTCCACTGCAGAAGATGATCTCGACGGAGTGGACCTGGTGCAAGACGCTCGTCCAAGGCGAAGCGAGACGAAGGGGAAGGACGAAGTCGAATGGATGGATGGACTATGTACTATACGAAAGGATGACGTTTTCTTCAATATATCCATTGTTGCATATGGCATCATATATGGCATCATGCATATGCAGCTATACTTATATGGCTTACTATATGGTTTATACCTGGAGTCTCAAAGTACCTCCGAAAATAGGTACAAGTATCTGTTTTTTATGGGGTCATGTTCCATTTTCTAAGGTACATTGGAGGGTCCAGGTACAAATATGTTTCTATTTTTATATGCTTTCTGTTCTTGCTAGCTCCAGGTGTGGCCTTTTGTGGCCAGGGCTTGTATGGGGCTGGTGTGGCTTGCGTCAGGTCGGGCTCAAGTAGCTCGTAGCTCCCTTTCGGAGCTGAAAAAGGTGGGATGGGAGGATCGTCGGACTGGGAGCCCCTGGGGCCAAAAGGGCTAAGTGATTCGAATGACGTGACCATTGGCAGATTCACATCATGGAACCGCCAAAAAACATCGGTCCATGTACCAGGACCTTCAAAGTGACCGTCCTTGAGATTCCAGAATGAGGTCACGAATCGTCCCTGAAGAGGTCACTTACAGACTCCAAAGAGGTCACGTACTGAAGGTCCTGGTAGAGGAATATGGTCCGAACAGCGGGGTCCATGTTGTGGCCCGTCTCCGGGGAGCTGCTAGCTGCTACCTCCCATGCTTTCCGATTTACTTACTTTCCCATGCTGACTCAATCAGTCAACTCCCAAAATATAAACGCATTGGGGATGCTCGGCTTGCTCTTGGGTCAGTTCTATTTAAAAAAACAACAACAGGCTGCCAAAGGGTGGAAGAAAGGTGATGGACCCATCGTCTCCACTTCGCGGTCAGGACTGAAGATGTTCACTTTGGGGCATGTATTAAAATACGGAGATCTCGAAAAGACCCCCCTGGAAGAAGGCAAATAGACCAACACCCATTGGGCCAGGGTGTCTCCCTATTCAAGTTCAGGACCCATGAAATTGATCTAGAAAACCCTTCCAAACCGCGCCCCACTCTCGCTTCAAAGGAGCTTCTGCACGGCGCCACTACTCGCGCCACTCTCAGTTTCTTTTCAAAGAGTTTCCTTTCACGCATCCGTGCTCGTGAAGGGTCCTGAATTCCTCTTCAGGCAGGGTCTGCACAAAGGTGAAACAAATTGGTTTGCATGTTGTTTAAGTTGTTGTGTTCTTCACCATTGGTTGTTTTCCAGTTGTATTTGTCCTTGAACAATACATGGTTCAACACGGTCGACCTAAGGCCCAGCAACGTCGACCATGTGTCCGACCATGATCGACTCGTGATGGCACCGGAGTCGGTTCACGACTTCAATCGATGGACTCGCTGAAGAAGGCTGAAACCGACTCCAAATTGTAAGACTCCAGGAGTTTCTGCAAGTCCTGCTCATGGCGGATTTTCTTGCGTGGCCACACGTTCCCGTGGCAGGTCACTGATATATTAGGCCATAGTTTTAACATGTTTTAGCCTTCACGATCGCTCTTGCCATTAGCCACGTGTTTGACAGCTGGTTTGGCATTTCCTCTGTCAAACCAACTCTCATCTTCTCAGGTGGAAAGCAATTCTGCCAAGCCCGCTAGTTTCGGATAGTTTTGGTAATTAATGCTGACGATATGTTCAACCGTGTTCAACCCTGGGGCTTGTGGTTTCTTGAGCGATTCGATTGCTTTTCCGATGTCCGAGTGAAGGTGTCCGCTTCCAATACAAAGCATTCGATCGTCAGCCTGCAGCACTCCCAGAAGATGAGAACAACAGAAAAATCAATTCCCTAGGCTTCCAACAACCATTAATTTAATAGGCTTTACCCAATCAACTAAGGATTTTACAATACAAAAACCAGGTCAACCATTGTTTTAATGGTCTTTGACTCCCAGGGAATTGAAGACCCTGAAACATGGTGGCGGGAATAAATGCCCGGCCTACCCGCGTGAACACATAGTCTACCACGATGTTCACTGTTGATTAAGTACCTAACATGACATGGTGGCGCTGCGCGCGCGCGTGTGTGTGTGTGTGTCAACCCCTGTTTCACAGGGGGTTCAAGCACATTGAATTTTAACGTATACAGCTTTGCCTGACTTGTGACAGTGGCAGTCCAACGAAGAGGCTGTTATGAGTCACCAATATGGACGCAGAATCCACGTACCTGCCTTTGCAAGTTTTCTGAGCTGTTGTCCAAGCTGTTCACCCTACTCTTCAGTAAAGCGCCTAAGGGGCGTTGTTAAAACATTCTGTTCTGCCGACCCATCGCTTCTTACCGTTGAATCAGCCAAGGTCTAACTGCATTAAAGGTCGAATTGCAGCAACACTGGACATTCACAGCTGACGTTTGCTCTTGCGAGCTCTATATCTAAGAGTGTGTGTGTGTGTGTGTCACCTCCCATTCCTCATGTTCCTAGGGACACTACCCGTACCTAATGTTCCTAGGGACACTACTCCTTGTATAGTTTACCTAATTTGCTCAATTCAGCAGGGGGCTCACGGGTCTGTTCCGTTGGCTCCAGGTTCAGACTAGGATATCAGGATGCTCTCCCGACGTACCTGCAACTCTTTGTTCACAGCGGTGTTTGAAACAATACCGTTCAGGCTGACTTCATCACCTTTCCGTTGCGAGCAGTGCCTTTTTCAGGTTTTGGTTCAGCGCTTAAAGTGCTATAGTGCTCAACCGAGATCCATCCTGAATTCTCGCTCCACGGGGCATGATTCTCAAGTGTGTGGCGTTCACGGTCAATCCCTGGGATTCGTCCTCCGGACAAGCCCTAGCTCTACTCTATGCACCAGTTGAAAAACATCAAACACACACACGGCCACCCAGACGCGACCCTAGGCCCGAATCCCATGGAGGGGTCCGGGGGCTCATATGGAGGGGTCTGGGGTCGAACCAGGGTCGGGCTGTGAACGGAGCGTCTGGGCACACACACACACACGGCCCAATTATCATGTGTCCACCTACCTTCCACATGGCCGTCCTTGATGCGATGGTCCACACTCTGATAGCCGCGGAGTCGCCACTTGTGTCGGTAGGCCGAGATCACCATGTTGTGCCTGAGCGCCGCCCGTCTGAAGCCCGCAGGTCACGCGTATGCTGAGGCGTTTGGTACATCCCAAGGTCCTAAAGGTCCTCTCCCAAAACAAAGTTGGAGGAAGAAAAACAAAATCCCTTCACCCAGTCACACATACGTCACACACCCAATTGGATGAAAATTCAATCTGTATATATGTTGACTTACATTGTAGACTACAGGTGTGGGAACAATCCATCAAAATCTCTTCCAATCCAAATCATACAACACACGGACGCATCAACTTGATGCTCCATTCTCACTGCAATATTCCTATTCATCTTCCGGCTTGTTCACATGTTCCTTTGCAGTCCTTTGTCTATCATACTTTGTTTCACCGAGCATCAGGAAGGCGAGCTTCTGTGGTTGGAGTTCGAACTGCTGCTGAATCTCATGGGCTTGATCCAGCACCGATTGCAGCTCGGGGTGTAGAAACTTCGTCTCACCTCACCGCTCGGTCGCAGCTCAAGGGCCCCCACCGCCCAATAGAAACGGCGCCGTAAAAGGTCGTCCAAGCGGAAAGGCCAACGGCTGGCGGAGGGGGAGGTCTCAGGAGGAGTGTGTGTGTGATTTTTGGTGTGACTGACTCCTGAGTCAGTTAGAAATTCAGTGGAAAGATCTGGAACATCAAGGTTTAATTAATCATGTTTAGTGCGGACAAAAACCAATCCCTCGAATCCCTCCAAAGAAAGCTTTTGCAGGTGACACACGTTTCACTCACTTCTGGTTAGGATACCCATACACTCCATGTATGGAATATATGCCTACATTGACCCCCCAAACCACCCCAATTGCCATTGATTTGGTTTGTATGATTCCTTCCTTTTGGTTCCTTCTCTGGTTGTCTATCGCAAAAAGACCCGGTGGAAAGTCGAGCTATAAGTGCTCTGGTCTGGATGGTTTCACGAGCCTACTGCATCAAATGCATGGGCATCATGGCTTTTCATGACAGCTTGAAGAGGAAGACCCACTGGTTGTGCTGCATCTAACCGGAGCCCAAAATGGACTGTCCCATCGGGCAAAAGATTGCAAAAGACAAGGAGTATCTCCCCAGTCCAGCTACACGTTCGGTTTATATGTAGTGGATCCCAATCAAACACGACATACCAGAAACCAGAGCCACACCGTTCGGTCGACCGTTTTCGTCGTGGCAACCCCACTGCTTACGCCATGGTGACTGTCGCCCTTGTCGCCTCACGGGGAAACCTCTCCCTTGTGGCCTCTGACAGGTGACAATCAAACACCAGCGAATGAATTCACATGAGAAGCATCCACAGGCTATGGCTTGGGTGTATCCCATTCCCTGTAACAGTGGATGATGATGGTTAGTAAAGGCCTTTCTCAAACATAGTGATCTTTTATTGACTGTTACAGGTCGGAAACACACAAGGGCTATTACGTACATCCTGATACTCTAATTAGATGCAACCATATGTCACGTCTCGCTTCTTCCTTCGTGAAGTCCTCCTCCGTGACGATCGACCGGACTCCTTCGACCTCACCGGACTGACGCGGACGATCCGGGGCGCCCTCTTGAAGCTGCACCTCTCGCAGAGGTTCCACCATGCGCACCTGCTGCGTCAAGGCGTGCCTGGGGCAGATCTGCCGGATGGCTGGGTGCGGAGATGGGGTGCCGAGACGGGTGCATCTGCGAGACGGGACTTCTTCAGGTGATGGGATTGGAGAGTGGCTTCCTTTGGGTGCGCTCTTCAGGGGCTGACATGCCAAGCATGAAGGCCAGCTGGACGGAAAGAACCATGGCAGCTCACATACCAAAAGGATACGAACCTTGCATGGGCGAGTCATTTCATGTGTTTTATGTATTGATTATAGGTACTATAACTGTAGCCTGCAACCACACATGCTGTCAGCTGTAGTTCTGGTCTAGACTGAATCAAACTGATGACTCATCACAACCTGTTGATTGGGTCAAGTAATGCCTCGACTGAAACACAAAGCAACACATCAATTCTGTTTAATGCCATGTGGGCCACAACTATAGTGAAGACCCTCTTTGCTATATGCTGCTCAAAAGAATAATTGAATTTCAGGCCTTTGCCCAAACACACACCAACTTGGTTGAACTTCGACTCAAGAAAGGACTCGGCGGCCCTAAGCAAGGAACCAAATTTGATGATCGCAAATGATCAGAAACAACAATACAGCAAACCAACAAATATGTCACGGGTTGTTGGTTTCGACTCACGAACGAAAAAAACATATATAGTCAGTGGGTTCAATCATCCCCAAGCAAAGGTTGAAAACACCACTATCTGAAACCACCAAGAAAAGGCGCACCAACCGGCGTTTCCACGAGTTGCACTACATAGTCCCAACGTCGTTGTCCTGGTCGTGCAGCGAAGCTCTGTTCTTGGCAATGCCAAGGGGTGACGGGGTGAGGCTCGTCACAGGCGCCCAAAAGGCCCGAAGTCAATGATCAACCTCCATCTCGCTAGTTATCTCACCCGCCCACTCACCCGCCCATTGCCATCACTCACCCGTGCCAGAACAAAAAACCGTGCCGCCAGTTTGGGCATGCCGAGCGGCTGATAGTTCAGCTTCGGATGGACCAACTCTAAGAAGCGCCCGAAGGTCTCCTCGTTCACCTCAGGCGCATCGCAGTCGAGGGACGGAAAGGCCGCCGCCGTGGAGTGAGGCGAACAGGAGTACCGCGCGGTTACTGAGTCCCGCGCCCCAAGGGGCAGGGGTAAGTGGGTTCTTTGGCCTTTTTGGGCCTATTTAGAATAGGAGCTACTAATTAGGAGCGATCGGACGCTACTAGTATGTTCCGGCTCCAGTCGGCCAATCTCCATCGCCAATTTGGTGTGAAGCGAATGATGCGCAGGAGGAACTCCGCGGTCTACTGATGGCTGATGATGGCTGCGCGGTCTACGGACGAGGAGAATGAGGATGTGGATAAGGACGAAAAAACATGCAGAGGATGAGGAGAACGTTGCTGAAACTAGGAAGCCCTAGGGCTCCAACCATATCCTCAGAAGGTGGTTAGACTCCCCAAACCCACCCCAACCATCTTCTCAGGAGGTGGTTGGAGCCCTAGGGAAGATCAGTTTCGTTTCAGGGCCTCGGACCGTCGCCGTTGCCTGAGGAATGCTAGCTGGCAAGTCTGACAAGAGACTCACTTGAAGTCTGTGAAAGTACTTCGCAGCTCAATCAGTAACCCCCCTTCTAAGATAGGGATCGCCGGGATCGCTGCTGACTTGTGTCCTTGATCTGTTTCAGAAAGGACCTCTTTTTTTTGAGATGACTCATCTAGTGTACTAAAACATACTAAAACTAGCTACTGAATTTCAAAAACAAAACAATTTGATCCCAAACATCTTAGAAACAATTGGCGAAGTCCCACCTCATCAAGAGTTTGGGATCTCATAAAACCAGCAACCATTTTGATTCTCCAACACGTGGGACGATGAAACTTGAACACCACGGCAGAAAGACACACAGTTGTATACCTTTCTTATGCGCTATCATCACAGAGTCGCACAGAGAGTAGCATCAAAGTCGCACAGAGTCGCGCTAGCAACAGGCCGTCCAGCATTTTGTTCCCTCTGCAGTGTCAATGTTGAAGCAAATGCTGAATACGGAGTTTCAGTGGAGACGAGAAGATACAGATGAGATGAGCCGAGGTGAAGATCTATACAGCTTCTTGCTACTACCCAGACGCGACCCTGGGCCCTCATATGGAGAGGTCGGACCCTCCTCTGGAGTGGTCTGGGGGCTCAAATCTTTCTGTTTTGAGGGACCGGTCGGGCGTCGTTCACGGAGCGTCTGGGTATACTTACTACCCCCAAAGCATCCAGGTATAGCATATAACAGAATACGTATACTTACCCTAGGGATCCAAGTACCTTCTCAGAAGGTACGACTGGACCCGACAATGGCACCCACATAACAGTGTCGAACACATCACCTTTTGAGAAGGTATGACTGGATCCCTAGGTACTTACGTTGGGCTCATGAATGGAGGTGAATGATGAACGTATGTAACTATACATGGATGGTCTGGGTCATACACCGCCATCTCATCCCACATATGCCCAACTGTTAGGTGTCTGTCACCGCACTAGCCACATGGTCATAGCCTCGGCTATGCTGGGTTTTTTAGTTTGCAACAAGTTGGGGGTTGGTCCAGAATCATTCTTGAATGAAACATCTTCCAACATGGTCAATCAGATCTCCAAAACCAATTCCACGCCTTTGGGGCATCCGATCATCCGACTTCTCACAGTGGACTTCGGGTCACCCGACGAGACCCGGCGGCGGCGGGTGAAGCGTCAAGTGGCGTCCACGTGCATTTGCACCTGGATCTTTTTGGCCGTGGCCTCCTTGGAAATGATATCCTTCAAGACACTGATGGTGGTAATCGAGTCAGACCTGCGCCATCAGCTTTGCGCGGGTTTTTCGCGCAGTGACTTCGCTGACATAGCTTGGAAGAGGAATGTGATATCCTGCAAGACATGTGTTACCCAGACGCCACCCTGGGCCCTCACACCGAGGGGTCGGACCCGAATCCTCTGGAGGGGTGTGGGGGCTCAAATCCCTGGGTATTGAGGGACCGGTCAGGCTATTTGGGGCGTCTGGGTAACACTTGATTAGATTCCTGATATGTAAAACTTGTGAGTGTTGATGTTTTCCTTTTCCACCACTTTCCAGCTACTGTCAGTTTCCCTGTAAGGATCTCTCAGTCAGCCTATTATACAGTATACACAGTATACTTGACTCTCATGGTGTCTGGCTCGTTGAAGTCATCATTTGTCAGCTTCTTGTAGAGACCTAAACGTAAACCTCTGCCCATGCTATCCACTTGCAGTATCATACAGGCACAAACCATGAAACTTGTCGTACTCCAAAACGCCGGTCTTGAAATGCCACCAACCTCTGACACTCCATGAGACTGGCATATTTATTGATCTGGCGTGGTTTCAGGGGCCCATGTAGTCATAGGACTCCATGGACCCAAAATCCCTGTTGCGTACGTCGCGGGGTACGTCGCGGCGTACGTCCTTTCTTCTTTCCGGAGACACCTGAAGATCGCAGAGCCCTTGGAATACCTGCCATAGAGCTGAGTGCCCACAAAGGTGCTCCGGTACGCGATGACCTCCAGCACAGGCGTGAGGCTGCGACATGGACGGCTGCGGAGCTGCAGTCGGACTGCGCTGATGGCACCCCATCTGTACCCATTTGTAAGTGGGATCCCGGCAAGATCCCCAAACTGATATAGGTGCGTAGAACAAAAACGGCCGAAGCCCTTCCACGGACGTGTTACAAACGGAGGAGGCTATCCAGTACAAAAGCATGGCGTTTCCAGTCAATGAACAACAACCAGTCAAGAAAAACAGGCACTTTCCAATGTTTCTGTAGTACAACAAAAATACGATGTTCTTCCAGCTGTCCTACTTGGTTTGGATTCCGTCGTACCCCAACTGAACCACATACAGAGAAAACAAAAAAATGACTCTTGATTATAATAAAGCCCCAATTTGACTTGGAAATATTTGGAAATCCTTTTCAATGGGGTAGTCCATTAATCAAGAATCAAGAGTCTATAGAAAAAGATCTTTTTGCAAATCCAAGTGTTCCATCTCATCATCTGTGGGCCGCGAGGGCAACTCATTGACACATAGCATCAACCAGCTGTGCATGTCAGTCACCTGGGCCAGAAAAACAAGACACGTTGGGACCGTGAAGCCTCTGAGCTGAGAACAAGAGTGTCACATACTCCCTGAAATCATGGAAGTGGAGTGAAAACCACCTGCTTGGTCTTCGGAAAGTGGGCATCGAGGGTATGAAGGCCATGCCATCTTGCCTACATCCAAGTGTCCAACGCATCACCCTCTTTTCAAGAGGGTATGAAAGAAAAAACATGAATCCATTATAGGGCTTGGTTCACAGTTCTTCAAGAAGAATGCCAGGCATGCCACGAAAGGACATCCAGGACCGAAACAAGGCAGGGATGATCCCCGTTCGCTCCGAACGCCCCCCCATCTCCGGTGACCAGTAGTCCAAACGACTCCCCTAATCCATCCACCCACCCGAGTCCCATCGAAGCGCAAAGGATGGGAGCCCAAACGGGCTTGATGATCCTAACCCGTTTGGGTTCCTGGCGTAATATCCTCAGGTGACCGGTGGTATTCAGACCCCCCCTGGCACCTACCCCAGTCCAACCGAAACGGAGGTGGGCCAGGAGCCCAAACGGGTCAGTTTCTTCTTTCGGCATCGACTCCCCAGCGCCGAACCCAAAATCACCACCCGCTTCGCTGGAGCTGGAGCGAAGCTAAGCCGCAGCTACGTCGTTGTTCCCCACGTGGTCGGCTGCTTGCGGCTGATGTGTGCACCACTCAAAACTCTTTGGGCACGAGTCTAAGTGCCCACAAAAAGGACTGGAACTGTAGGCTTGGCAGGCTTCACTGCCCACGAAGGAATCACTCCAAGACCAAACTATCTGACACATCGAACCCCCTAACAAAAGAACAGTCTTCATAGTCTTCTCACCTTCTATCTACCTCATCCCTATACGTACTTTTCATCCCATCCATACGCCATACACCCAAACGTTCCGGTGACTCCTCACTCCCCGGTGATCTCCCCTCAGCCTGCGTGAAACCCTCGGCTTTGAACCCCCCGCGTCCCCCTTCACCCACGTCCGCCGGTGACGCTCCGGTTGGGCTGGGGCACCGAGAAGGGTCCGCTCAAGCGGAGCTCGTTCATGGGCACCTCAGGGCTCACCTCCGGGATCTTCTCCTTGGGTTGGAGACCGAGAGCGATTCGGAGCGGGGAGAGGTGGAGACGGAGCCGATGTGGGAGGTGATGCGGAGGAGATGGAACCGACTGACTCGCTTCTGTCTTTTTCCCGAAAGCATTGCGAAGGGTTCTTCCGGAAAATCCCTTGAACACTGACACTTCGACACTTACACTTACACACTGACATTTCCACACTTACACACACACGCACACTGGAAGAGCGAAAGCATCCAAGTGCGAAGTATGCCAGTGTCATAGTGTAAGTATGCAAGCATGATATGCAAGGGTGAGTATGCAAGATGCAAGCATGCAATGAGTAGGCAAGTGTGAGTATGGAAAACTAGCACGGGAGATGTCCTAATGAAAAAACATTTCCCCACTTTATAAATTCTCTCTTAAAGGCGGAGTGCGGGACGAACAGCGTCAACCGAAAGTGCAACCCTCTGCGGAGATCGTGCGTGTCGAGTGCGCGAAATGCAGGCGAGAGTGCGATTTGCCGGGTGCCCGCGCAACCCTCTGCGGAGAACGTGCGTGTCGAGTGCGCGAAATGCAGGCGAGAGTGCGATTCGCCGGGTGCCCGCGCAACCCTCTGCGGAGATCGTGCGTGTCGAGTGCGCGAAA